TGTATGTTAATGAAAGGCTCCGTCAGTTTGGATCCAAATAGCGCCAAATTTACAGAGGAGATTGATGAGTACACGGGACGGGTTCTAAACTATACTCGGTTGAAAACCGATTTTTCGGTTTTAAAAAAAAAAAAATCCCTACCTACCTACCCTACTTTTGTTTTCGATGCAATAGGAAACACACCTATTTTTTTGTTTGGCCTTGGCATCTCTGGGAATGTATATGTCCCTTAACTGCTCAAGCTGACTTACTTATGTGCCGTGCGACCACCACAAATCTTTAACAAATCCTGATCCTTAGCCGAGTTTGACTGCATATTGTCTTCATCACTGTCACTACTGAGTACAGTTGTGCTTGGCTCTGACACTAGCAGTCCATCTGACATTAGTGTTCCACTCTACAATACACACATACAACATATGTCTAGATAAACATCAAGATTGGATAACAACTATAAAGATGTATTAACATCAAACAAAAGTAGGAACAAATTAATAGTATACTTCTCCATATAAGAGTGCATATTGCAGATTTCACTGCCAATTGTTAAAATTTCGTCTTTTGTACTAATGCAGTGTTTCCCCTGGCCAAAAAGGTCTGTGAGGTGGTAATTTTTGTTTGGTGTTTGCACGTTTATAGGCAAAGTAGGACCGCAGGTGCTTGCCCAGCCCAGCTAGAGGAGTCCGAGGGCATGCCCCCAAAGATTTTTGAAAAAAGTGTGCAATTTGGTACATTCTACGCTATTCTGAACACATTGTATAAGACTTGAAATTTTCTCTAAATTTTCGTCAGCGAGGCGGTGTTTTGGACAAATTTCTGTGTGGCGTCTGAGAATTTGAGCGAGGCAGCCCTCTTACTCGTGTCAATGGAGGGGAAACACTGCTAATGGCAATAACAGGATTCTTTTATGCGAACCATTTTTGCAGAATCTTTTGTGAGAATAGACTGTATTGCTCTTTATTCTGAATATTCATCATCATTGTAGTCACATCACACAAGTAACCATATTTAAGTGGCTTTTAAAAAAGTAAGGCAAAATCAAGAAACAAGCTATCTCGGCAATGCAATTTTTAAGCTTTTTAAATTGGTCAAGCAAGCTTATTAGTTTCAGTTTATAATTTCGAAATAAGCAACGGAGAAAGATATGAACACTCTCATTCAATATTAAAATATGCGGCAAACATAATGACCCAATCCTGGAGCGTTAACAATTATAGAGATTATCGTAAGCATACATATTATATACCATACGCCTTTTTATAACATATATATATACAAAATGGTGTCGATTTTTCAAATTTCAAATGTATAAATTAACATATGTTTTTGTTTATGGAAGCATACAATTGCTGTGGACCCATCTAGCCAGGGTACTGTAACTACTGTACTGTTATTACACTGTATTATGCTTGTGATAATGTTGATCATTGTAAACAGTCCCTTGGCTAGTATCTAACTGTAAATTAATATTATTATTAATATTATGTAACAAAAATGCATGTACCTTTATAACATGTGCTTACCTTTACAAAACGTCCATAAAGCATATTCTTGTCAGGAACATACCTTGCCCTTTTGTTGGATATTGGTTCCGAATCAGTTGCCTTTCTTTTTACAGTAATACCATCCTATAACAAATTGTGTAGTAGTTTATGAAATATGTTAAAATTTATCAATTTAACACAGTTTTTAGCTCAGCTGACGAAGTCAGATGCAGCTTGTAGAATCGCATGAATGTCCGTCCGTGCGTCCGTCCGTGTGTCAACAGTTATGGCACAAATCTTAACCGCTCGACGTACGGTCTTGATATTTGGGACGTCAGGGGGGATCGTGAAAAGGACTCGGGATGTCGAATTTGGAGGTCAAAGGTCAAGGTGTGTCAATGGAGAGGGAATATTTCCCCCTCAGCTTAATGTATAGGAGGAAATACGGAATTGCGGCACAAATCTCAATGGCTTGACCTACGCCAGGGTTCAACATTAACTTTTTATTTCACTAGACCATAGGGCTAGTAACTGAGGAAAACCACTAGCCCTGACCTAACTTTCACTAGCCCAGACCCAGACCATTGTTATGAAAAACTTTATTTAGATAAGAGTGTGTCATCGTATGAATTCATAGATGCTGTTTCCCGCGCTTTAAATCGCGCGTGTGCCGAGTTCACGTGCAGCATTCGTATTCTACCAAAGCTTTGATTCTACCACGGGCATACACGAGCGCACGGTTTATCGATCGTCTACTGCGGCTGGCAGCAAGCCACGTTTATAGTCGTTATTGTTTTTGCCGAAAGGTAGACTGGTATCCGGCCTCACTCTGTGCTAGACAATGTACACGCTCTGCGACAAACAGTGCGGCCGCGAACCAGTCTAGCTCAGAGTAACAAAAACCAATAATCTATCCACGAGCTGACTCGTGGATCCGCGGGGATGCGTTTTGATTGTTCTCACGAGCTGACTCGTGGATCCGCGGGGATGCGTTTTGATTGTTCTCACGAGCTGACTCGTGGATCCGCGGGGAACATGTTAAAAGGGGGGCCAAAAACAGCGAACTGCGCAAAATAGTAGATGACTTAATATTTTAATGGTTCCTCCGTGTCCCTCTCTACACTGGCCTACGTTTCCCCACCTCTCACTCACTCAGCTCTGCAATCTTTGTTTCAGGCGCCATGCATAAAGGCAAG